TAAAAATTAATTTTTTGAGTACTAAAAAATTAGCTTGTTTTAGGAATGAAAAATAAAAATTAAAAACAGCTACTATTCGAGAAATTGAAAATTGAAATGATTATCAAATGAAGCATAATTTTTTCATTGAATTTAGCATGCCACTTGCAGTGTAAAAGAACATGAAGACGGACTCGGCCTATGTTTAAGCAATAAATATTAGATAACAAATGAAAACTACATTACATCACTAGCTTGATTTATAAAATTTTGTTGAAAACAAAGTATGACCACCCTAACAATCTTATATGTTTTAATCTTAACAACTTGCGACGATTCTACTAAAACCATTAGCTCCAAAAGCTTAAACTATGAGGGATGCACTAATAATATCTACAAAGCTCTCCTACCCACCCCAAAAGCTTTAATTTTAATAACATAAATATGTTGCATATATGTCCAGATAATTTAAGATCCGATGTAAAGTTGTACTACTGAAATGAATTTATCTTTAGTTAATCTTCTAAACTTCAAATTCGGATACAAACCTTTCACTTGTGTGGGTTACTCCATATATCTAATACTACATCCAAACCACTCACCGGCATTAATTCCAATATAATCACTTAGGTTGAATTCCCCCCATATCGTAGGCGGCACAATCAATCTCGAAGTTTAAGGAATAAATTTGTAACTCGTAAAAAATAGATATGACACGTTCTGACTCGGGATGTTCATTTGGACTCCGAATCAAGTTGTGTTAGCCGACACCTGAAGGGTGAGGTAGCCATAAAGTGTAGTGAGGGGGAAAATGTAAATAAATTTAAACCTAAAATGCCTAAATGGAAGAGTGCGCATGTGAGCATGATTGAACCCTATTCACACGTGATGTTAGAGCATAAGTAAAGTATAGTAAAAGTAGAATGAGAATTATATCATCGAAGGTAATCTCCAATTCCAACATTTGCCAAGAATCCTTGTCGATATAGAAGCTCTGCTACTAAAACTTGGACAGGGGGCGGGGGAACAAGGTGGGTGCGTCTAAAAATAAAGCTTTGTAAAAACCTTTTTGAAAATATATAACCTCTCACCGTAAAATAAGTATAGTTTTCAATTTGAACATACTACATATAGTATGAAAAAACTTACTGTCGCTAGCAATACCAAAAAAATGCAATACATCACAATAATTCGTAAATAAATTCATAACTTCCAGTAATCACAATATCTCGCATAAATAAACATATCATATCGAGTATGCATGTGGTGCGATGTGAACATACACGTGAAGCCTGGCTCTGGCCCTGGCGAGTACAAACACCTGTGTAGCACACGATGAGCAGAAGGTGAGTAATTCGTTAATTCTAGGCAACATAATACTTTTCATAACCGTAAATCTAATTAAGGCATCCAGTAGGATTATTTAATAATTTCGTAATTTCCATTATTTCGCTAATTATTATAAACGTTAATTTAATCTAGGCATAATGTAGAAATTTTTTTTATTAAATATATAAATGGAAACTAAATAAATATATAATATATAAAAGTAAAGACCCACTCACAAATCATGTCGTCGAGTCAAACCCGCCTTGCTGGCATCGAAGATCATTGCAATGTGTTTCACCTAGAAATGAAACCATTTACGTAAATATATAACGTACTAACTTAAATTCGCATATTCTTACAAAGTATGGCTAATAAATGAACTATTTTAAATTGATCGAATTTCGAAAAACGAAGGGCAGATTCGAATTCGGCACGTCAAGAAACGTAAGAAATGACTTTGGGTTCCTCCACGCACCGCCATAAGGTGGCTGCACTAGCTGCCACATGCCACTCGTTGTGGCTTTCCCATGCGCACCCACGTGCCTGCGAGTACGTTACTACTCGCCTTGCTTGCGAAGGTCTGCATATTTGCAAGTTTTCATCCAACTTTTAGAGTTTCGTTTGAGCTTATTTCTTAGCCAAAATCATTTATTCAAGAACCAAATAAAAGTTAGGAATGTGATGAACAGAACTATACCAATTTAAGGCCAAGGTGGGGTCGGCGTTGATCGAAAAAATGGCATGAATGTGGCTTGATAGCCACAGTTCTCGTCGGAATTTAGGGAGAAATTTCCCCTTCGTTGTTTCTGTCATAAAACCAATCTGAAACTCACTCATCAACTCTAAAAGTCAATTCAAACGTTGAGAGGAGATCGTTTGAAGCATTTTCAACACTCACCTTCACTGAAAACGAAGAGATCCACGTCGGGAAATCTCCACTATGTTGGAGCTCCATGATCTGAGAGTTATGTCGTTCGAATTTATAGGGCTAAACCTAGGTCCTAGGCTAGGTTTCAAGTGAGAGGATAACATCGAACTGGTGGTTCGGTCGTCATCCGCCATGGAAAATGGCGGTGGTAATCTAGGCCTCACGGCCATACCAGGTTTGCAAAGATGAGAGAGGCAGGACAAAGATGTTGAGGGAGAGAGATGCATGACAAGAGACTAAGAGAGACAGATATGGATGGTCTTGTGTGGTTTAGTAGTTCTTGTGGAGTTCGCCCGAGAAGACGACAAGTGCTGGTGGTGCTCGTTGCTTTGTTTACATAGAGGGCGAGAAAGTTTTGAGATGAGAGCTGAAGTGAGGTGAGAGAGAAAAGAGATCAAGTGAGATAAATGAGAAATTTTTAGTTGTGATGGGAACACAAGTGGTACACTACGTGTTTTAATAGTAATGGTGGGAAATTTTATTTTTTAAGTTATTAACTTTTTAGCACACATATCCTACTATTTGTTTAGTGACAAGTGATGTACCATCCCGTGTACCAGTCACACTGAAAAATCTCTCGAGATAGACAGGAAGGGTTTGAGAAAGTAGGGGTGAGCACTTGGAACTGAAAACCGAAACCAAAACACAAACCAAATCGAATTGCACCGAACAGTTTGGTTTTGTGGTTTTGAAACTATTTCGGTTTTGAAACGGAACCGCAAAGTAGGAAACGGTTTAGTTTCGGTTTTGGTTTTTGAAAACCATACCGAAATCGAAACCGAATCATTTTATTAAATGTTAAATTCTAATTGGTTATTTCATTGAGTCCATACATTTACTATGAACTTAACCTCATCATAATATTTCCACATAATCTCTATCTTATCTTTCTTTTAGTCTGTATTGCTCAACTTTATTCATCTAAGCTTCTAACTCTCTCTCTCTCTCTCGGCCTCCCCTTCATTCCAGCTCCTAGCCTCTAGAGTTCAGGGTTGGGTTTTGAATCAAAAAGGGATTTGGTATTTCGTTGGTTAGTCTTTGAATTTTCTTCGTTCATGAACATTAGAATGTCAGAATGTTGTTGATTGATAAATAAATTATTCGTACGTATAAACTTGATAAATCAGAGTAAAATTGAATATGATTCAAGTTCACGAGTTCTGCAAAAAAAAAAGGACAAAATGTCATATATGTTCCTGAATTAGTCGATATAATCCACTTCTTATTATGTTTAAGTATTAAATTTAGCAAATTAAGTATTAAGTATTAATTAGGCTTGTTGCTTACTGGAATGGTCATGCCTTGCAATTTCATTTTCTTCCAATTTTTATATAACATGCAAATAATGGGTAGATACTAGATAGGTTTATGCCTAGTATACACAATTACACACACCTACACGAATTGAATCCGCCTCCATGATTAAGGAAATGTGCGATACTTAGGGCTACATGTTGATTTAAATCCCTACATCATGATGTGAACTCTCTTGAACTTAAGATTGAGTGTGTATTGCATGCTTGGTTGCTGACTACAATAAATAATGCTGCATTTGGGCTATCGAAGGACTTGTTTTTAATGTCAAAAGCTTAAACACCAAAACTTTTTTGTTGAATTGAATGAAATGAGATACAACTAAATAACCATATTAGCTTTTTCAAATAATGAAACCAAACCAAAACCGTTTAAAACCAAACCGAACCAAACCAAAGTACAAAAACTTGCGATTTTGGTTTTGGTTTCACTCAAAACCACATCAAACCGAACCCCGCCCACCCCTATAAGAGAGTCCCAAAAATGTAGGGGAGGAACTACCACGTGGAAGAAAGGGAAGGAAGTGGGGTGTGGGTCCCACCAAATAAAATTTTAAAGTAAAATAAATAAAAATATGATATATAATAGAAAATATCTGAAATTATGAATTTACTAAAATGCCCTTGGACTTTGTAAGTCCGTAGAATCTCCATCGTAACTCCAAATTTGATTCCATTTGCACCTACGTGTTCGTAGCGATGAGTACTATAAGGATACGCTAAAAGAATGTTTCGTACGTCTCACTATATGTTTGTCAACGAAAGTCAACATCCTCGTACAGAGCATATTCGCCAATTCACCTTTTTCAAATTAATAAAATTATAAAATTAGGGACGAGTTGTTACGAGATATCATTATCATTCACATGTTTATTAACGGCAAAAAAATTGAAAAAAATAAGTACGATTTCTCATTTGCGTGTTTACGAACAACTAAAAAATTTAAAAAAAATTAAGTGGATCAATGAGAAAAACATTGAACACGCTGTGACCAACTGTAGATTTTGGGTCCAAGTCCAAGCACCGACTAATTGACATTTGACCAAAATCCCAGCACCAGCAGAGCTCAAAACAGCTGGTCAATCTTTTGCCGACTTAAATACAAACTATAAAAATGGAGACTGGACCCACACCCCATTCCTACCACCCAATCCACACCCCCACCTGTCTCCTTTATACAATTTTTAATCATTCGATTCAACAGTCAACATTCAAATTCGCAACATTATAATAATAGTCCCGCTTCACCTTTGAGTTTTGAACCCGCGTATGTGTATACAAATATATAAGCCCATCAAATTCCCACATTCCTCACAACCAAAACAACACAAATACTCAAAGTAAATTCTCATAAATTTGTGATTTTTCCATCAATTCGAAGCAACATTTCTTGGAGAAGAAAGAAGGCCGGCTGTAAGGTCGAAAACAAGAAACAATTTTGTAATTTGGACATGGACGTGGGGGAGATCGCGATTCCGACGCATTTCTGGTTCCTGATTTCCCTCGACTTGATGAAAGATCCGGTGACACTTTCGACGGGAATCACGTACGACAGGTCAAGCATCGAGAAGTGGATCGAGACTGGCAACAATACTTGTTCTGTGACTAATCAGGAGCTCATGAGTTTTGACCAGATTCTGAACCATGCACTATGTCGGATTATCCAAGATTGGTGCGTGGAGAATAAGTCTTATGGCATCGAGCGAATTCCAATGCCACGGATCCTTGTGATTCCATACGAGGTGTCGAGGATTCGTGAGAGAATCATGGGAGCAGCACGGCATTTGAATGAGAAGAAGTGTCGAGAACTGGTGGGGAAGATTAAAGAGTGGGGTAAGGAAAGTGTTCGTCGCAGGAATCTCCTGGCGGACGAGCACACAGCTCCCCTGGGAGAATGGCGTCGGTTGAGGGTATCTGTCGTACTTCTGCTTTCTTCTCGGGCTCGCTCGGGCAAGCCTTTGTCGGGCAGATCTTGGTCGGGCAAGACACACTTCGGGCAAGGCTCGTCGGGCAGTTCTGAAAGAGAAGGATAGAGTTAATTTGAAAGGGTGCCTTTGTGGGGCCTTAGGTGTAGGCCTTAAGGCTCACAATCAAGATTAACTTTGTCGTGCTCAGGCGTGCCACTGCCATCTTCAGTATGGCAGATGTTGAATGGGTGTTAAGCTTTGATTGAATATGTATACGCCCGAGAAACCAAGTTAGATATAACAGGTGCCTTTGTGGGGCCTTAGGTATAGGCCTTGAGGCTTCCTGTCAAACTAAACCAGTGCTTGGATGTATCATATTTGGTCTTTTATGGTTGCCACAGTCTTATCACTATTATACCTTTGATTATCTGAATCCAAGAGGTAGGACGAACCCAAATGAGTGCCTTTGTAGGGTCTTAGGTATAGGCCTTGAGGCTTCCCATCAGAGTTAATCCTTATACTCGGACCAACTAGACCGCAACATGAAATGAAGCTAAATAGATGCCTTCGTGAGGCCTTAGGTGTAGGCCTTGAGGCTTTCTATCAGAATTCACTCCATGCTTAAGCCTTTTCTACGAATCAAGATATAATAGCAACAAAACGGAGAAATAGATTGATTACTTGCGCCCCAAGTAACTTCGGACTTCTCGCTTATCAAGGATTGTCGTGGATGGGTTGAGTCCACATAGAGTTCTTTTTTATGCCTTGAGGCCAAGGACTTTTAAACTGATCTTTAAATTACATGCCCGCCGGGCTTAAGACTTAGATCTGATTTGAACTCTGACGCGATTCAGATCGGATTCAAGTGCTGAAGACTCATTTTCATTATGACTTTGCTAGAAATAACTTGTATATAACTGGGAATATATAACATGTTATTGTGCTTTTAAAAGAAAGAAAAGACAAAGACAGAGCAAAGATAGTCGGGTAAGTTTGAACCTTATTGGCCAAGGCTGAACTTCTTACAAAATCTATCTTTGTGGCTCTGTCAGAGGTCTGAAAGCTTTTAGAGGGGTTGACGGGGGAGAAGAGGATACAAAATGAATCGATACCACCATGAACAAGGTAGCAGAGCTATTACAGGGGTTTGGGAAGGTTTATCCCGAATGGGATGAAGGCTTGTGCTGACTACAGCTTCGTTGAAGGCAAATCTGGCTTGAGCAGAGTTTTGGCTTTTGTTTGTTTGTTTGAGTGTCCTTAATTCTGTCTTCTCTTCCTCCTTTTATAGACAACTTCAACTTGGGTTCCTGTAGCAATAGCGGTGCCCGAATGCGGTTTGGTGATGACTCACTAGCTTTTTTACATGAATGCCACCAATAAAGTACTTTATTGGGCTGTGTAGTGACTGAATAGCCTAACCCCTGTGGTCTTTGAGCAGGTAAGCAGGTGGCCTTTGTAACTTGTGCCCAGCCGAAAGCCTCTTTCCTGCCTCCTAAGTTTTCCTCTGGGCCTTGGGTTTGGGCCGACTTTCTCTCTGGCCCAAAGTTCAGATTTTATCCCAAACAGTGCCCCCTTCAATTGATGTTAAGGTTGGGATCCCAAGCGCCAACATTAAATGAATAACAACATGCGTGCCCTTTGAGCTTCTTGCGACCTTTAAACTGCCTTCTGGTTCTCTATAAATTCTGGCTTTGGAAACCCTTTTCAAATCATCACCTCTTCTTCATTTTGGTCTTCACCCTTCATCCACCTTGAATCCTTCCGTCTCCCCACTGAGAAATGGGTTCCTCAGGTTTTGAGTGGAGTTTCCTGAAACTCCCCTTTCGTGAGAAAAAAGAAAGTTTTCACCTGATGATTGCTACCTCCAACACCTTTGGTCGATAACCCCTCTACCTCCAACACCCTTGGTCAGGCGGTCTCCTCTTGATGACTGATCTTCCCACAACTTGTGGTGATAAGTCGGGCTTCATCATCATACATGGTGAAGATCTTGTGGGAGGGTCATCTACCAAGCTCATGTTGGCCGCACAACCCGATCACCTGATTGGGTTTCAACCAAGAAGATAGCGGGAAACCAGTTGAAGACACCAACACTTTCAGAGAGGATCAAATGTAATACATAAGATTTGGTATCTTGTAATCTCATCAATTTGTCGACATGAAATAAGTATTTTTATCTATTTCTGCATCTCTGCCTTCTTTAAATGTTTGGATGAACAAAATACCGTATGTGAATTTCTAAGGTCCGTCTCACTCTGCTCCCTCTTCGATATAGTAATCCCTAACATCCCATAATGTAGGACAATATTTCTTCAAGAATTTTGCATTAATATGGTGTTTCTGCTCATTGCCTTCGAGGTCTGCTAGATAATATCCTCATTTGTTCAAAACCCGACTAATAATAAAAGGACCTTCCCATGTCGGGCTCCATTTCCCGAAGCCACGCAGCTGAGCGCCTAGCGGGAGTACCGCTTTCCACGCTAAATCTCCTTCCTTGAAAGACTTAACTTCACCCTTTTGTTATAAGCTCGGGCAACAACAATCTTTCCTTCTTGAATCTGGTTCAAGGCTTCAATTCGGGCTGCATCCAGATCTTCAATACCTTGACACATGGCTTCGATATATTCTGCACTATGCAACCCAAATTGGTTTTGAATTCTTACGGAACTGACGTTGATTTCCATAGGAAGCACTGCATCTTGCCCGAAAGTCAAGGCATAAGGAGTCGTGCCTGTCCCCGCTCTTTTAGAAGTCCGGTATGCCCACAACGTGTTCCCTAGCATCTCATGCCACCTTTCTGGACTATCAATCACCATCCTTTTAATAATGTTGACCAAGATCTTGTTGCTAGCCTCTGCTTGCCCATTTGACTGAGGGTAGTATGGACTGGATTGGATCATCTTTATTTTGTACTTGCTTGCAAACTCTTCAACCTCCTTTGAAATAAAAGATGGCCCACGATCCGTTACTATAGTTTCAGGCACCCCATACCTGTGCAGGATCTTGGTCTCAATAAAATTCTTGACCACGGCTGAAGTTATGGATTTTACTGCCGATGCTTCTACCCATTTGGTGAAGTAATCCGTTGCCACAATTATGAAAGTATGTCCCTTACTAGAGGCCGGATAAATTTGCCCGATGAAGTCCATTGCCCATCCTCGGAACGGCCAAGGCTTGACCACTGGATTGAGAGGTACTGATGGTACGTGCTGGAGAGGTCGATGTCTCTGACATTCTTCACATCCGCGGGCATAGGACTTACAATCTTTTTCCATGTCGGGCCAGAAATAACCATACCTTCTGAGTAGCCATCTCATCTTTGTTCCCGCTTGATGTGCTCCACATATTCCCTCATGTACTTCGGCCATTACTCTCATGGATTCCTCTAGGCCTAAGCATTTTAATAGCAACCCATCTGGGGTCTTTCTCAACAGATTTTTTGTCCACAAGACATACTTAGTTGCTTGCTGCCTGTTCTTCTTACTTGTGGGTGAAGAAGGATCTTTCAGATACTGAGTAATAGGTGTCCTCCAATCTTCCACCTCGGTCTCTAGAACCATTACATCCAGACTGAACCTCCGATCTAAGATAGAGGGAAGGTTTCTTGTTTGGATCTCAACATCAACACCATACTTCCTTTCTTGCATTGGCACTCCTGAAGCTAGTTGCGCCATTTCATTGGCTGCCAAGTTAGATCCCCTAGGAATGTGATTGACTGATATCTCAGACTCCCACAAACTCAGCAGTTGTGTTGCTGCCATATAGTACCCTGCCATAGTGATATGTCTGCATTTGAACTCGCCATTTAGTTGATTTATCACTAACTCTGAATCACCAAAGATCTCTACTTCAGTTGCCCCCAAGTCCATCAGGATTTCCAGGCCGATAATCAATGCCTCATACTCCGCCCGATTATTGGTATTTTCTTGATAATCAAGTAGGAAGGAATAGTAATGATAAACCCCTTGAGGGTTTATAATCACAATTCCAGCTCCTGCTGCCTTCTGAGTGTAGGATCCATCGAAATATAGCTTCCAAGGTGTAATCCAAAGACCTGCTACTCTCCTTATCTATCTCTTGCTGGGATCCAATCTTCTTTGCCCGAAACATCACTTCTTGGTGGGATCCATACATTAGCAACTTCTAAACTTCCCGGGATATTGATTTCCTCGCTTTGAGACTCCTGATGTTCGGTCAGGAAGTCAGCAATTGCCTGGCCTTTGACTGCCCTCTGGGGTATGTACTGAAAACTGAATTCTGATAATGCTAGAATCCACTTCCCAATCTTCCCTGCTAGCATAGGTCTTGACAACATATACTTTATCACATCTGTTTTGGCGATAATGTGCACATGACAAGGTAGCATGTAATGCCTTAGCTTGCTGGCAGTAAAATATAGAGCCAAACACAGTTTTTCCACCGGAGAATATCTTGTTTCTACCTCGGTCAGAATTCTGCTGAGGTAATACACAGCCTGCTCTTTTCCTCCTTCATTATTCTGGGCTAGTAGACTCCCAATTGATCTTTCCGATGCAGAAATATATAGTTTCAATGGCTTTCCCCTTTGAGGTGGCACCAGCACTGGTGGGGAAGTTAAGTAAGCCTTGATGCTATCAAATGCCTGCTGGTGGGTTGGCCCCCACTCAAAATTCTCCCTATCCTTCAATCTCAGTAGCGGAGTTAGTGGCTGGATTTTGCCCGCCAAATTGGCAATGAATCTCCTTAAGAAGTTGATTTTACCTAGCAATCTCTGAAGCTGTACTTTGTTGGTAGGTGGAAGTGACTCTAATATTGCCCGAGACTTATTTTTGTCCACCTCCACACCTCTCTGATGCACCAAGAATCCCAAAAAATTGCCCGCTCTTACTCCAAAAGCGCATTTCTTTGGATTCATCTTCAACTTGTGGATCCGCATCCTCATCAATGCTTGCTTGAGGTCCACGAGATGCTGCTCTTCTGTCTTAGATTTCACCACAATGTCATCGATATACACCTCCATGCTTTGGCCAATTAAATCATGAAAAATGGCATTCATTGCCCTTTGATACGTGGCGCCTGCATTTTTGAGCCCGAATGGCATGACCAGATATTCATATGCCCCTACATGACCAGGACATCTAAAAGCTGTCTTATGAATATCCTCTGGCGCCATCTTTATTTGATTGTAATCGGCATTTCCATCCATAAACGATAAAACTTTATGCTTTGCTACAGCATCTATAGATAAGTCAGCCATGGGCATGGGATATTCATCCTTTGGTGTGGCGCTATTAATATTCCTATAATCAACACAACACCGTACTGCTTTTGTTATAGCTTTAAAACGGGTACAATGTTGGCTAGCCACTCTACATATTTGGCTGGTCTAATAAAGCCAGCTTTCACCAGCCTTTCAATTTCTTCTTTGACTTTTTCTTCTATCTCCTTTGACATCCTTCGTGGTGCCTGCTTGACAGGTTTTATATCCTTCCTTGATGGGCATTCTATGTTCCACCAAGGCTGGGTCTAATCCTGGCATCTCGGTGTAATGCCAAGCAAAACAATCTTTGAATTCTTGCAAAAGAGAGATAATCTTGGCCCGATCCTCAATCCTTAATAAACCGCTGATTTGAATTGGTCTCGGATCCTCTTCTGTGCCTAGATCAATAACTTCCAATGGATCCTGGACTTCTGGAGGTGGCTTATCAGGTTCTGCACATAAAAATTCAACTAACTCCGGGTTCTCGGGCAGACCGTCTGGCTCGTCTATATCGTAGACGCATTCGGCCATTTGAATGGCCTTATCTAACTCCTCTGTGCAAGATTCTTCCTCATTTTCCTGCTGGCTGGTAGAAATTTTCCCCTGCCACTCCTGCTCTTCTTTATCCAAGAGCTTTTTTTCCTGTATTCTTCCCTTTCCATACACCAACAGTCTTTTAATCAGGGATCTGACTGCCATGACCTGATCTTTCTTCTTTTGTTCGATCATTGATGGTATAGAGAGTTTGGTATAAGACAGGGTCTCTCTCCCACTCCTCCTTGGTAAGGAGCATCCCTTGTTCTAGAAGCTTTCGGGCCGTCACCTTGGTAGGGCGGCCGTTCTCATCAGCTCCTAAACATTTCAAAATTCCCACGTTGGGATTGTAGAAATTTGCTTCTGCAACATTAGCTGAGGGGAGGAACGGCCGTGATTCGGCCTCTACCAATTCCCAAAAGCTTGATCCTTCAGTACTTGCCTCGTGGTATACAGCCACTTGTTGATGAAGAGTAGAAGGTATGGCTAAACTTTGATGAATCCAATCTCTTCCAAGTAGGGCCCCGTAAGTGGAAGTGCAGTCTACTACAAAGAACGCCAACATTATTTTCTTGGACCCCAGATCTACCTCCAAAGGTAATATCCCATGAGTCCTGGTGATAGCACCTGAAAAGCTCGAGACTGTAAGGTTTGTGGGAATAAGATCTTCAGTGCTTCTCCCCATCCTCTTCATCTGCTTGGCTGGCAATATGTTAACAGTCGCTCCTCCATCAATCAAATTCTTTTGAAAGGTACACCTTCCAGATGAGCTGAAACGTATATAGGCTTCAGGTGGTTGGCCAACGAAATACTTGGGCGGCTGAACACCATTTTATCTGTGTAAATCCGTAGGGGACCACCTTTAGGTTACTTTTGAGGATTCAACCTTGCCTGAGTCTTCCTCTGTAACTACCTCCACATTGACGTGAGCCATCATCGGCTCAATTGTTAAATAATCACCTTCCATGGTAGCGGGCTGGTCAGGCCTGGCGCCAAACATGGCAGATAATACATACGTCATGTTGATGTGGAAGTTGCTGGGTTCGAGCAAGTCCTCTTTCTTGCTCCCAACGTGATCCATGAACTCGTCTAACCAGGCCATTGCATCGGCTGGTAGTAAGGGCTCTGGTATCCCTTCCTGTTGTGGTTGATTCATGTCTCCGTACAGCGCTTGCTTTTGGAACTTCACCAAACGGATCCAAAAGGCAGAAAGGTTGGTCTCATCTCAGATGCAACAGTTTCCTCATGGGTGAGCCCTGGCCTCCAACCAGGTGTTGGCATCATAGTCAGATCTTCCTGAGCCCTTCTTAAGATCCTATACTTGCCAGGATGTTGGCTTTGTGGCACATGATTCCCCATACCCTCCGTCTTGCCGTTGGCCCTTTCTACTTCCTTTCTTACTTCGCCAACGAAGCTGACTACTACTTCCAGATGTTGCCCTCTCTGGCTTTTGATTTTTTGAGGCTTCAGAGGTGATAGGGGTCATCAGGGAATTCATGTAGGCTTTGTGCTGCCTTTGAACCCTTCTGACCATGGATGCTCCCATTGGTCTGGTGGGCTGCCCATCTTTTCCAACTACATACCATTTCCGCCCACGATATGCAGGAGTTGCTTTCTTACAGGATTAGCTCCCATCAGTTCTTCGACTTCCTTCCCCTTTTGGCCATTTTTCCGCCACGTAGCAGGACCTCTTATTTACACACATCTTATCGCCCATCAACTTCTGACTTCCTTCCCTTTTGAACTGCTTTGTGCTTCTTTTTTGTCCTCCTGGAGTGCCTGCCCATGCCGTCAGAAACTTCATAGTTTCGAAATACTTCTGACAACGCTTGGGTTGGGAATCACCTCCTAAACGTTGAAAAAAACGCTTCGGGAAGTATTTTTTCTTGTTGCCTGTTTAAGCCTTTCGCGGGCTTCTCTTTTAATTAACTCGTGATCAATAAGGACTTCAGCTGGGGAATCTCGAGTTCACATTCACACTGGCATTTACTACACATAACCAGCCCTTTGATTATGGCAGCCTTTGGGTAATCGGATGGTTTGCCTATCCCTTCCGTAGGTCGTTTGGCTAGTTTCCTTCTTCTTCTTCCCTTATAATTTTCCCTTTTCCTTTCTCTGCCCAGGTCATGTTGAGCATGTTTACCGGGGCTTCAGAAAAGGGCAACACAGGGTTGACTATGACTACCTCATTCTGGTTGGGTAGTCCTGTGTCTTTCTCCTTTGGGAGGAGCCAAACCTGTCTCATTTCTAGAGCCTAGGGAGGGCTTCATTCAGTCTCTGTAGCATTTGAAACAATGTATTCTGTAAATCTTCTGGCATGTTTATCTTTATCTTCAGATCAGAGGATCCACCGGGCGTGCCAAAACTATGTTTCGTCGCAGGAATCTCCTGGCGGACGAGCACACAGCTCCTCTGGGAGAAATGGCGTCGGTTGAGGGTATCTGTCGTACTTCTGCTTTCTTCTCGGGCTCGCTCGGGCAAGCCTTTGTCGGGCAGATCTTGGTCGGGCAAGACACACTTCGGGCAAGGCTCGTCGGGCAGTTCTGAAAGAGAAGGACAGAGTTAATTTTGAAAGGGTGCCTTTGTGGGGCCTTAGGTGTAGGCCTTAAGGCTCACAATCAAGATTAACTTTGTCGTGCTCAGGCGTGCCACTGCCATCTTCAGTATAGCAGATGTTGAATGGGTGTTAAGCTTTGATTGAATATGTATACGCCCGAGAAACCAAGTTAGATATAACAGGTGCCTTTGTGGGGCCTTAGGTATAGGCCTTGAGGCTTCCTGTCAACTAAACCAGCGCTTGATGTATCATATTTGGTCTTTTATGGTTGCTAGAGTCTTATCACTATTATACCTTTGATTATCTGAATCCAAGAGGTAGGACGAACCCAAATGAGTGCCTTTGTAGGGTCTTAGGTATAGGCCTTGAGGCTTCCCATCAGAGTTAATCCTTATACTCGGACCAACTAGACCGCAACATGAAATGAAGCTAAATAGATGCCTTCGTGGGGCCTTAGGTGTAGGCCTTGAGGCTTTCTATCAGAATTCACTCCATGCTTAAGCCTTTTCTACGAATCAAGATATAATAGCAACAAAACGGAGAAATAGATTTGATTACTTGCGCCCCAAGTAACTTCGGACTTCTCGCTTATCAAGGATTGTCGTGGATGGGTTGAGTCCACATAGAGTTCTTTTTATTGCCTTGAGGCCAAGGACTTTTAAACTGATCTTTAAATTACATGCCCGCCGGGCTTAAGACTTTAGATCTGATTTGAACTCTGACGCGATTCAGATCGGATTCAAGTGCTGAAGACTCATTTTCATTATGACTTTGCTAGAAATAACTTGTATATAACTGGGAATATATAACATGTTTATTGTGCTTTTAAAAGAAAGAAAAGACAAAGACAGAGCAAAGATAGTCGGGTAAGTTTGAACCTTATTGGCCAAGGCTGAACTTCTTACAAAATCTATCTTTGTGGCTCTGTCAGAGGTCTGAAAGCTTTTAGAGGGGTTGACGGGGGAGAAGAGGATACAAAATGAATCGATACCACCATGAACAAGGTAGCAGAGCTATTACAGGGGTTTGGGAAGGTTTATCCCGAATGGGATGAAGGCTTGTGCTGACTACAGCTTCGTTGAAGGGCAAATCTGGCTTGAGCAGAGTTTTGGCTTTTGTTTTGTTTGTTTGAGTGTCCTTAATTCTGTCTTCTCTTCCTCCTTTTATAGACAACTTCAACTTGGGTTCCTGTAGCAATAGCGGTGCCCGAATGCGGTTTGGTGATGACTCACTAGCTTTTTTACATGAATGCCACCAATAAAGTACTTTATTGGGCTGTGTAGTGACTGAATAGCCTAACCCCTGTGGTCTTTGAGCAGGTAAGCAGGTGGCCTTTGTAACTTGTGCCCAGCCGAAAGCCTCTTTCCTGCCTCCTAAGTTTTTCCTCTGGGCCTTGGGTTTGGGCCGACTTTCTCTCTGGCCCAAAGTTCAGACTTTTATCCCAAACAGTGCCCCCTTCAATTGATGTTAAGGTTGGGATCCCAAGCGCGCCAACATTAAATGAATAACAACATGCGTGCCCTTTGAGCTTCTTGCGACCTTTTAAACTGCCTTCTGGTTCTCTATAAATTCTGGCTTTGGAAACCCTTTTCAAATCATCACCTCTTCTTCATTTTGGTCTTCACCCTTCATCCACCTTGAATCCTTCCGTCTCCCCACTGAGAAATGGGTTCCTCAGGGTTTTGAGTGGAGTTTCCTGAAACTCCCCTTTCGTGAGAAAAAAGAAAGTTTTTCAACCTGATGATTGCTACCTCCAACACCTTTGGTCGATAACCCCTCTACCTCCAACACCCTTGGTTCAGGCGGTCTCCTCTTGATGACTGATCTTCCCACAAACTTGTGGTGATAAGTCGGGCTTCATCATCATACATGGTGAAGATCTTGTGGGAGGGTCCTCTACCAAGCTCATGTTGGCCGCACAACCCGATCACCTGATTGGGTTTTCAACCAAGAAGATAGCGGGAAACCAGTTGAAGACACCAACACTTTCAGAGGAGGATCAAATGTAATACATAAGATTTGGTATCTTGTAATCTCATCAATTTGTCGACATGAAATAAGTATTTTTATCTATTTCTGCATCTCTGCCTTCTTTAAATGTTTGGATGAACAAAAATACCGTATGTGAATTTCTAAGGTCCGTCTCACTCTGCTCCCTCTTCGAATATAGTAATCCCTAAACATCCCATAATGTAGGACAATATTTCTTCAAGAATTTTGCATTAATATGGTGTTTCTGCTCATTGCCTTCGAGGTCTGCTAGATAATATCCTCATTTGTTCAAAACCCGACTAATAATAAAAGGACCTTCCCATGTCGGGCTCCATTTCCCGAAGCCACGCAGCTGAGCGCCTAGCGGGGAGTACCGCTTTCCACGCTAAATCTCCTTCCTTGAAAGACTTAACTTCACCCTTTTGTTATAAGCTCGGGCAACAACAATCTTTCCTTCTTGAATCTGGTTCAAGGCTTCAATTCGGGCTGCATCCAGATCTTCAATACCTTGACACATGGCTTCGATATATTCTGCACTATGCAACCCAAATTGGTTTTGAATTCTTACGGAACTGACGTTGATTTCCATAGGAAGCACTGCATCTTGCCCGAAAGTCAAGGCATAAGGAGTCGTGCCTGTCCCCCGCTCTTTTAGAAGTCCGGTATGCCCACAACGTGTTCCCTAGCATCTCATGCCACCTTTCTGGACTATCAATCACCATCCTTTTAATAATGTTGACCAAGATCTTGTTGCTAGCCTCTGCTTGCCCATTTGACTGAGGGTAGTATGGACTGGATTGGATCATCTTTATTTTGTACTTGCTTGCAAACTCTTCAACCTCCTTTGAAATAAAAGATGGCCCACGATCCGTTACTATAGTTTCAGGCACCCCATACCTGTGCAGGATCTTGGTCTCAATAAAATTCTTGACCACGGCTGAAGTTATGGATTTTACTGCCGATGCTTCTACCCATTTGGTGAAGTAATCCGTTGCCACAATTATGAAAGTATGTCCCTTACTAGAGGCCGGATAAATTTGCCCGATGAAGTCCATTGCCCATCCTCGGAACGGCCAAGGCTTGACCACTGGATTGAGAGGTACTGATGGTACGTGCTGGAGAGGTCGATGTCTCTGACATTCTTCACATCCGCGGGCATAGGACTTACAATCTTTTTCCATGTCGGGCCAGAAATAACCATACCTTCTGAGTAGCCATCTCATCTTTGTTCCCGCTTGATGTGCTCCACATATTCCCTCATGTACTTCGGCCATTACTCTCATGGATTCCTCTAGGCCTAAGCATTTTAATAGCAACCCATCTGGGGTCTTTCTCAACAGATTTTTTTGTCCACAAGACATACTTAGTTGCTTGCTGCCTGTTCTTCTTTACTTGTGGGTGAAGAAGGATCTTTCAGATACTGAGTAATAGGTGTCCTCCAATCTTCCACCTCGGTCTCTAGAACCATTACATCCAGACTGAACCTCCGATCTAAGATAGAGGGAAGGTTTCTTGTTTGGATCTCAACATCAACACCATACTTCCTTTCTTGCATTGGCACTCCTGAAGCTAGTTGCGCCATTTCATTGGCTGCCAAGTTAGATCCC